CCCTCCTCCCTTCACCCCATCCTCCCCTCCCCCACCCTCCTACACTCCCCTCCCCACCCCTCCCCCACCCCATCCTACCCTCCCCTCCCCCTACTCCATCCTAACCCTCCCCACCCCATCTTACCCCTCCCCACCCCGCCTATACCCCTACCCCCTACCCCGTCCTACCCCCCAGCCCCAGCTAAGGCCCACCGCCCCACCCCCGTGCCCTCTGGGGCCGGCAGAGCCCTGAGCCAAGGGACCCCTTTCCCACGCAGTCCATTGAAGGCTCCATGGTGACCCTGAGCCAAGGCGAGTGGATGGGGCTCCCGGACCTGCAGGTCAAGGACTGGATGCAGAAGAAGCGAAGGTGAGCAGCCCTGGGGAGCCCCCAGCCTCCTCTGAGCCCCTCCGGTCTGCCCTCCTCTTCCCCCAGGGGGGAAACTGAGGCTCAGACAGGGAGAAGGCTTGCCCAGCACCACTGAGTAGGAGAGAGCGGCAGGGCTGGGCTCTCCAGGACTCCCTGTGCAGTGCTCTCTCCACCTTGCCACGAGAGCCCCCCGGCGTGGCCTCCCCACAGCACCCCAGCCAGCCACTGCCCCCTACGCCCTGGTCCCCTACGTCCCCCCGTCCTTCAGGCCTCCTGCAGCCCCTCCCTCCATTCTGAGCCTGGCCTGGAACCATCTTTCTAGGTCAGCTAAAGGAATGCACTTCCTTTTTCATTTTTTAATGCTCTTGCATTAAAAACCTGACCACGCTGTAGAATATTAAAAATTGAAAAAAAGGGAAACAAACCCCCTCCCAACCCTGCCCTTCTGCCCAGCCCTGTCCCCTCTGGGGTGTTCTCTCCCCGTCTGGTTTCCTGGGCCCCGGTGACCACGCCGCACAGCGTCCAGTGCCCTGGACAAACGGCGGGTGGCTGAACACCCACGAACGGCCCTGCTCATCCGGGCTGCGTGTGGCGGGGCTGTTCCAGGGAGAACCCGGGCAGGCGGACGGGACCGGGTGGGTTGGGTTGGCCGGCGTGGCCTCTGTCCGGAGGGGACGTGGTCCGAGCTCACGCCGCAGCCAGGGCACTGAGCCAGGCTGGGCTGCGCCGGGGTGTCCCTTAATCAAGATCATCCTTAACGGCATGTCCTCAGGTCGGGCAGATTAACACACAGAGGTCACGAGTGGGGGCTGGGCACTGCGGTCATCGCTGCAGGCGGCATGTTTTTAATCAGTTTTTTAACCGACTGCATATAGAAAAGTGTGCAGCTCGCATGGGTACGGGTCGGTGACATTTCCCAAGGCGGGCACACAGAGCCGAGAAATAGTCCCCCTGCCAAACCCCCTAGTAACCCCAGGGTAGCCCCGTCGTTCTGCCTGTTCCTGAACTTTACAAACCCGCGGTCGTATCTACCCAGACTGTTACGGATCCTTTCGAGGTGACAATAACGGTGGCCCGCCCTCACGTGGCACTCACTCCCAGCCTCGTTCTCCTCCGGGCGCTTTGTTTCTGTTGGTTCATCCAGCCCTCTGGACGACCTCACGAAACAAGGGCCTGCCACCGTAGCCACCATCATTTCGAAAATGAGGAAACCGAGGCCCGGGGTACTTCCGGGCGCAGCTCAGTGGCGACAGAGCCAGGATCTGGACCGGGCCGCGAGGCTCTGGTGCCACAGTCCGGCCCCACCCTGCCCCTGCGGCAGGGGGCGCCCCAGTTAGCCGGGGTTTGCAGGGGTCACTCGGTCCGGCCCGGTCCTGCGGCTGGTGGGGGACGTCCCTGGTGGTCCCCGTGCCACGCCGGCCCGCCCTGACCCCCGCCCTCCCGTCTCCTCCCCTACAGAGGTTTCCGCAACAGCCGGGCCACGGCCGGGGACATCGCCCACTACTACCAGGACTACGTGACCAAGAAGGGTCTGGGCCACAACTTCGTGTCCGGCGCCGTGGTCACGGCCGTGGCGTGGGCGACGCAGGAGCCGGGCCCCCTGTTCCAGGTGAGCGGCTTCCTGGCCGCGCGGGACGGGAGCCAGCAGCCCTTCTCGCTGTGGGCGCGCAACGTGGTGCTGGCCACGGGCACGTTCGACAGCCCCGCCCGGCTGGGCGTGCCCGGGGAGGCCCTGCCCTTCGTCCACCATGAGCTGTCGGCCCTGGAGGCGGCCACGCGGGCGGGCGCGGTGACCCCGGCCTCCGACCCCGTGCTCATCATCGGCGCGGGGCTGTCCGCGGCGGACGCGGTGCTGTACGCCCGCCACTACAACCTGCCCGTCATCCACGCCTTCCGCCGGCCTGTGGACGACCCGGGCCTGGTGTTCAACCAGCTGCCCAAGATGCTGTACCCCGAGTACCACAAGGTGCACCAGATGATGCGGGAGCGCTCCATCCTGTCGCCCAGCCCCTACGAGGGCTACCGCAGCCTGCCCGGGCACCGGCTGCTGCTCTTCAAGGACGACCGCCAGGCCGTGTTCCGGGACCCCGAGGGCGGCGAGAAGGTCTTCTGCGTCTCCCTGGTGCTGGTCCTCATCGGCTCGCACCCCGACCTCTCCTTCCTCCCCGGGGCCGGCGCCGACCTGGCCGTGGACCCCGGCCAGCCCCTGAGCGCCAAGAGGAACCCCGTGGACGTGGACCCCTTCACCTACGAGAGCACCCGCCGGGCCGGCCTGTACGCCGTGGGGCCGCTGGCCGGGGACAACTTCGTGAGGTTCGTGCAGGGCGGCGCCCTGGCCGTGGCCAGCTCCCTGCGGAGGAAGGAGACCAGGAAGCCGCCCTAGCGCCCGCCTGGCGCGCTGACACCCAGGCCCTGAAGAGGAGGGAGATGACCGGGGCCCTGCCGGACGCAGGGGCCGTCCAGGGTGCCCCGGCGGCGAAGGGGGCGGCCTCTCCTGGCAGGAGACGGGAGGGGCTGCGGGCCACGCACGGAGGAGCGGGGAGCCCGGGATGCCGGGACTCAGACCATTGGCCCAGGCAGGACGGTGACCACAGGCCAGGCCAGGCCTCGACCTGGGATTTCGGGGCAAGCTGCCAGTGTGAGCGGCAGGAGGACTCCAGGCACGCTCCTTCCAGAAGCAGTTTCCAAATAAAACCAGTGCCTGCCTCCACGCACGTGTCCGGGGACTCTGTGCTTGGGAGGGAGCTGCGTGCCCGAGACCCGGCCAATGGGGGGGCGTCACAGGGTCACATGGGAGTTCCTGGATGAGGCCTACGGCTGGGAGGGTGAGGGACAGGTGATGGTGCCCAAGTGTGGGGGCAGTTGAATGGGCAGCTGTGCTAGAGCTTTGGGGGAACAGTGGGTACAGGGAGTGGCATCCAGGAGGTCGGTTACAGCCCCACCACCCCTCCAGCCTTGCCTTCACCCCTTCCCTTCTCAGTTCCAGCTGCACTGCCCCCTTTAGTCCCTCCTGCTCTCCTTCCCCTGTTCCTGCCTGCCCCAGGGCCTTTGCACAGGCTGGTCTCAGCCCAGGCTACTTTCCCTCCTCTCTGTAACTCCCTCTCTTTGAATCTCTCCACCTAGGAATTGCTTTCTCTAGGAAACGTCTTCATAGGGACACAAAGCCCTCCACTGCCACCAGAACAAATCCCCCTCTCACAGTCCAGGGGGCCACTTCTTCACGGCAGTTGCATTTTAATTGTTCGTTTATTTGCAGAATCATTTCAGTGTGTGCTCTGAGCCACTTCGGATGTAAAGCTCGGGAGGAAGGCCACGGCCCCCTGGCCTGTTTGCCATTAGTGGAACCCAACGCCTGCCACGCGCTGGGCACCTAGTGGGTTCTCTTTAGTCTTTTTACCCACAGATGCGACACATAGCATGGGGTGGGTGGAGGGATTGGGTGGGCAGGTGGAGGGATGGGAGAGGATGGGTGGGTGGGAGGGATGGGGAGGGTGTGGTGGGTGAGGGATGGGAGGGTGGTGTGGTGGAGGGATGGGAAGGGTGGGTGGGTGGAGCGAGATGGAGAGGTGGGGGGTGGAGGGATGGGAGGGTAGGGAAGGTGGGTGGGTGGAGGGATTGTGGAGGGTGGGAGGGTGGTGGGTGGAGGGATGGGAGGGTGGGTGGGTGGAAGGGATGGGAAGGGTGGGTGGGTTGGAGGAATGGGAGGGTGGGAAAGGTGGGGGGGGCGGTAGGGTGGCAGGGGAGGGTGGGAGAGGGTGGGAAGGTGGTGGGATGAGGGATGGAGTAACACGACACGCGGGAGTGGGAAGGTGGTGGGTTGGAGGGATGGGAACAAGGGAGTTGGGTGGGAGTGGAGGGATTAGACCAGGGAGGTGGGA